GGAGCACAAACTTGGTGTGTCTGATATGTAGCAGGTTGGGAGTTTTTATCCATTTCCCCTATATCAAATTAATGACATTTTCCCATGGCCACATAGGATATATTTGTAAAGTCTTTAACATTACATGCAATCTCCCTCAGCAACCCAGCACTTCAACAGAAGGGCTCTGTCATATCAGATCTTGTAATTCCTCACTCCAGTTTTCCAGATTCATCCCCTTCTTGCTTGGGATCTTAGCCCTGCCCCTGAGTATCCCCTTGATACCCTGGTGTGTGACAGCTGCAGGGACACTTGCTGCAAACCAGTGTGGACTCAGACATGTGCCATAAAAGCCTCTTTCTTGGTCCATTTTAAGCATGCCTTCCTTCCCTCTCGGGAGCGAAGGTTTCTTCACTGGAGGAGGGTAGGCAAGGGTCTTGAGAAAAGAAGAACATTTTTCTCAGGAACTTGTAGAACAGTGGTGCTTTTTATTTAAGGACCCATGTAGTAATGAAGCAATTGCTACAAACTGGGATGGTAGCAAAACTTTGTAGCATGATATCATTAGTGATAAATTGTTATTCTCAAATAATTATTCCTGAGCAATTTTCTATTTGATCTTCATGTTGGCTAACAACTAGTCTCCTATTTTTGAAAAAGAAATGTCACCAGGCAACAGCCTTGGTACAGCCTTATGACCATCCTAATAACCCTTAATAATTCCACCTCTGCCTCTCTCCTTTCATTCCTTCTTCCTATTCCTTGATTTCTCTTTCTTATTCTAAAACATAGTTTTAGAATGACTTAACCAGGTAACAGTTTTGCAACTGATTTTCTCAAAAACCTTTTCCTTTTGGAAAGTGTAATACAGATCCTTAGCATTTAGTTGTTTACATTTGAAATGCATTTGAAAAGTAGCTCCCTAACAGCACAGAAAAAATGATTATAATAATATACTTATGCTTAGAAATAATAGTAAATTCATAACAGTTGTTAGCAATAAGGAGGAAAGAAGAAAGGAAGGAAGGAAGGAAGGAAAGAAAGAAAGAAAGAAAGAAAGAAAGAAAGAAAGAAAGAAAGAGAAAGAAAGAAAGAAAGAAAGAAGGAAAGAAAATGATAATAGAAGGAAGCAAAATATATTAGACTGACACATGTAGGGAACACGAACTCAATGTGTTCTTATACCCTAGAAACATATACAGGAAAATGTGATGATTTTGATGAAGCTGGGCAGAAGATATGAAGTTGTTGGTTCTATTATTCTTTATAGCTTTTCAAATATACCATATATGACTGTCACTTGCCAAAAGCATTCTAGGAAATACAAAAATCACATTCACCTCTTATCAGGAATTAGCTATTCTTCTCTGTTTCATCTCGTTTCTCCTGATTCACTTCTTGTTTTATATCTTCTGTCTTGTATCTCAAGTGTGCCCATAAAGTTTAGTTCTGCAAAACATTTGAAATTGTCCTTCACTTAGAATCCCTAAGTAGTAGTTCAATTAAAGGCATAAACCTATCCTTATAGGTAATGGATGACTTATGGATGGTTGACTTTCATAGGCCAGAAGATATAAGAAAACCCTGAAAATATAACATTATATTTATTGGTTGGTAAATGCTTATAAAGTATTATCTCTCTGTAAGTCAGGGATAAGAAATAGGAGAGGTAGAAAAACTCTGTTCTCAGGGTTTATAATCTAAGAAGAGATACAGCATAGATACCGCAAACTTTACAACTTTTATAGAGATTTAGGTTTGAACTGGTCTCAGGATTGCATTATACAACTCAGTGATATAGGTATGTCCAATTCCACTATCAGGAAGTAGTTCTACAAATATACTTGCTTATGTGAAATGACTTCACATAATCTTTGGTTATTATAGCAAAAGGACTGAAAATAATAGAAATATCCATCAATATGGACCTGGCTAAATAAGTTAAGGTACATTCATGCAGTGCAATGCCATGAATTTAACAGAATTCAACAACCCAGATACTGTAAAATAAAGAGAACCCTATAATACATTATTAAATAAAATGAAGTACAATCATCAAACAAATACTAGCAATAATAAACCAAAATGAAATATAAAAGCATATCAGACCACTTAAGGTAGGTAGCACTTATGTCGTTACTCCTATTGTCCTTGTGCCTAACATTGCATCATTACACACTGTAAATCCAGCCAGCCAGCCACCCCTGAAAAAGCCCCACCTAAAAATACATGAGGCTTTGGGGGGGGCATCTAAACACAATCCATGTGTGTGTGTGTGTGTGTGTGTGTGTGTGTGTGTGTGTGTGTGTGTGTGTGTGTGTGTGTGTTATATAGGGCACAGAAGAGATCGAA